TGAAAAAAAACACTTTAATTACATCTTAAAACACTTAAAACACTTTATATTTTTTAATGAAAGAAGTATAAAAGATCAATTTCACTTCTAATAATTTTGACAATCCTTATGTGGAGTATACTTGTGAGAAGAAAACATTTTTTTGGTGACAAAAAGCTTAGGTGAGTTAGTCCAAGAGACTCACCAGATTAGGGCATACTTCTAGATACTAGATGTATAGAGATGTATTTAAAAATCACCTACTAATAAGGTTCTTTCATTGATTATGAGATTTAATCTTGTGATTTTGTGAATTATGAATTAAAACTTTGTCAATTGAGCCAGCTTTACTGGTTTGTTTGAAAAAATATTTAATCTGTATAACATTTGACCCCTAACAATATATAATATTCGGATCAGTGTAAAACTTTAATTGGCTAAACCAGCTAGCAATGCAGTTGGCCCTCACCTGATGACTAAATTCTAAGGTTGTCAAACTCGTGAGTTTAAGTGAATTTGTGACATAGATGTAGATTCGAATCATAAACTCATAAAAGTTTACATCTATTAATAAATAATAATTAAAAATATATAATTAAATAATTAAAATATAAAATATGATCATGATTTAATTTAAATATATTTTAAATATTAATAATTGAAATTAAAATGGGGAAACTAATTTTTGTTCTTTCCTTTTTATTAATATTAATTTTTGTTGTTTGAGTTTTATTTTTTTCTTTGAACATTGTCTTATTGCTTATATGAAGCGAGTTCTACACATTATATGCTTAATTTGCTCAACTCAATTAAAAATTAATAAATTTAACAAGTTTAATTGATTACGTTTGGTTTTAATTTACGAATAAGTTGACACGATGTAAAAATGATAAACTCAAAGAGTTAATTCGTGAGTTTAGCAAAGTTTCATCTAATTCAAGTTTATAAGCAAATTAATGTGATTTTTTAAATTATAAATGTAAAATGTAACATCCTGATTTTTATATAATAAAGAAATTGTGGAATTTAGGTTTTGAGGAAAAAAATGATAATAATAGGAATTTATATTATTTGAGGTTATTTAGAAATAATATTATGATTAGGTATTTAATTATGAATTTAAAAATTTAAATTTAAAATCACATAAGCAATATTTAGTTAAGATATAATACATAAATAATTTTTTTTATGTGTGTGTTAAAAAAAAAAAGAGAAGGTAGAAGGAACAAAAAAAAGGGGGGGTGGAAGGTTGTTGTTTCTAAGTCCCACATTGGTTAGATGAGGGAAGAGAAGAGGTGCCTTCATGTATAAAAAGGAGGGGGTGTGTGCATTAGGAAGCATGAGAGGCTAAGATGCAATTTAGAGAAAATTGCAACTTTGGGCCCAAAGGTTTGAATAATTAAATTCAAACCTATAGTTTTTTTTTAATATAATTTTGGGACTCACAATTCCATTTTTATATTATTTTTCTCTCTTCCTCTCACGTTGCTCGGCGTTTTCTCGCAAGGGGGGATTATTTTCTTTTTTCTTCAAGTATGTTCTAACTTTCCTGTTTAGATTAGCATTTAAAAATTTATTTAATTACAAAATTAATTTTATAGTTATTTTCTAAATAATATTAGCTTTCTAGTGATATGATTATTTTGTAGGATAGAGTAAATATTTTGATTAGGATTTTTCTATAGGATAGTTAATCTGATGATATGATGGATTAAAAATATAGGTTAAAATTCTTAGGGATATAGTAAATATTATAGAATATTTTCTTAAGGTTGAAACTCATGTTTAAGAATTTTTGAGTTAAAATCTAGATCTATATGGTTGAATTTATGTGGAATATGAGATGTAGGGATAAATCTATAATTATTAAATATTTATTTAAGTATGAATAGGTATTTTTGAGATTATAGAAAGGTGATTTGAGGCTTCAGGATAATTCTAAAATTTTTAATTTATTTTTAGATGAATTTTTAGAATGTAGAAGGATGAAATTGCGATACTAGAAGTGAATTGAGGATAAAAAAAAAATAGTTCATTAGGGTACGAGAATTTTAGAAAAGAATTTGGGAAGTTAAATAAGGCATAAATCTTAAATTAGTGTTAATATGGACTATAGATTTAAGACTTTCTAACTATTTAAATTAGAGTTATTTTATGTAACAGTACGGAGCCACCCCTTGGGCCTCGACTCGGTACTGGACTCTGGCCCATCACTGGACCAAAGCCGACTTTCCTACAGGTGGTACTGTGGTTATTCCTCACCACTGCCTCTCCAGGGTCTTTTGGAACCTCCCCAGACTCGAACCTCCAACCACTACCACCTTAACGAAGTTGAGGCGAAGTCTGGTACCATTGAGTCAAGTTGACTGAATGGTACCAGACTTCGCCTCAACTTCGTTAAGGTGGTAGAGGTTGGAGATTCGAGTCTGGGGAGGTTCCAAAAGACCCTGGAGAGGCAGTGGTGAGGAATAACCACAGTACCACCTATAGGAAAGTCGGCTTTGGTCCAGTGATGGGCCAGAGTCCAGTACCGAGTCGAGGCCCAAGGGGTGGCTCCGTACTGTTACATAAAAGGCGCCTTTTATGTAACAGTACGAAGCCACCCCTTGGGCCTCGACTCGGTACTGGACTCTGGCCCATCACTGGACCAAAGCCGACTTTCCTACAGGTGGTACTGTGGTTATTCCTCACCACTGCCTCTCCAGGGTCTTTTGAAACCTCCCCAGACTCGAACCTCCAACCTCTACCACCTTAACGAAGTTGAGGCGAAGTCTGGTACCATTGAGTCAAGTTGACTGAATGGTACCAGACTTCGCCTCAACTTCGTTAAGGTGGTAGAGGTTGGAGGTTCGAGTCTGGGGAGGTTCCAAAAGACCCTGGAGAGGCAGTGGTGAGGAATAACCACAGTACCACCTGTAGGAAAGTCAGCTTTGGTCCAGTGATGGGCCAGAGTCCAGTACCGAGTCTCGCCTTTTATGTAACAGTACGAAGCCACCCCTTGGGCCTCGACTCGGTACTGGACTCTGGCCCATCACTGGACCAAAGCCGACTTTCCTACAGGTGGTACTGTGGTTATTCCTCACCACTGCCTCTCCAGGGTCTTTTGGAACCTCCCCAAACTCGAACCTCCAACCTCTACCACCTTAACGAAGTTGAGGCGAAGTCTGGTACCATTCAGTCAACTTGACTCAATGGTACCAGACTTCGCCTCAACTTCGTTAAGGTGGTAGAGGTTGGAGGTTCGAGTCTGGGGAGGTTCCAAAAGACCCTGGAGAGGCAGTAGTGAGGAATAACCACAGTACCACCTGTAGGAAAGTCGGCTTTGATCCAGTGATGGGCCAGAGTCCAGTACCGAGTCGAGGCCCAAGGGGTGGCTCCGTACTGTTATATAAAAATGATAAACTTAAAGAGTCAACTTGATAATTTGACAATCATATTAAATTCTAATTAATCGGCATCTTCTTACAAGTAGCACTTCAATCTATTAATACAGTTCATCAGAGAAATGTCACAAGCGAGAAAAAAATGTTTTGAAGAATAACATATTTAATACAAGTAAATTCTATTTGTTTTAGCCAACATTAATAATTTAACTCATTGATTATGATAAAATAGTTAGAAATGATTCATATATATGATTAAAAGGAATATTTTTTTTATTGATTTTGAAAGTTAAAAGAGCATCTATAAATTAAAAAAAATAGCTATCATACCAACAAAATAAGTTGAATTGACCAGCGGTAATGGTTAGTTGGTTACAAAGCCTTTGAAAATGGTGGCAAGATTTCCTGCTTCAACGTTGCGTTGTGGTCGCTTCTCTGTTCCTTTGACAACTTGTGTGCCTCGTCTCCGCTTCTCATGCACGCAATGGACTAATGGGCTTGCTCCCTCGTTATCAGGCTTCATAGTCCAGTATCTGGGTAATGCTATCACAAGTCCCGACTTATCCGAGCTAATGTTTACTAGTATTGTTATTGTTAATGGTAACTTTACGAGTATTTTAAGAATACTTTTAATATTTTTATTTAACAAAATGGTATATTTCAAAACTCGAATTTAAGATTTTAAGATAAGATAATTTTAATTCTCTAGCGAGTTGAATCCAGTGCAGATGGTAGAGCTTGTTTATTTTATGGTTAAATAATTACACACACATGATTCCCAACGACGGAAAGATTTCGAGGACATTTGATCAATTTGGAATGATACCAATAACACTAGCACAACCTACAATGAGCGAAGATTTTATGAACAAATTGAAAAAGGATCCAAATTTTGTGGGCATTGATATCGAACACCTCCTAGTTATTAAATTAGACCTTATTCTATGTGACGTGCCATGGGGTCCTACTCCTAACTCCTCAATTTATTACTTAACTTTTTATAATAATTTTATTATATATTTTTGGCGAGTACAGGGAGATGAGCCGCCAACACCTGCCAACAGCAGAGATTTATTGCTCCAAGCCAAAATACTGAGTGGCAGATTATTTCCATCTAGGTTACTACATACACAAGTTTGCACGTAATATGTGGCTGTGAACTTATGAGTATTCGTTCAATGTTTAGCATGTCTAGTGAGAAGGAATTAAAAAAAAAACAAAAAGCAAGAACGAATGCATGATAAGCTGGTAAAACATGCATGGTAATGTTAACTTAATTTGTCAGGGATTACAAAGGATTTCAGAATCACGGGATGTATGAATGGCGAAGAAAAGAAGGAAAGAGAAAATGAATCTAATATACTTTGGCGTGTATAGTGTCTTAATTATGATAATATCGACTTTGCATCGAATGCATTTCTCAATTAATCCGTCATTTTTACAGTTTTACAGATCCTTCCGTTCCATGAATCTAAACAAGAGCAAGGTTGATATTAACTAATCAGGAAGATGAACGAGAGTGACAGCTAATGTGGGACTTAACACAAGACGTGTAGGAGAGAGAGAGGGGGGGTGTTAGCGCGGTTAGGTTAGCTTAATTCACCAACGTGATTTCCGAAGGAAACACAAATTAATTTTCCACCAAACCCCGAAACTCGAAAAGAAAAATAAAAAAAATTGAGACTTTGAGAGAAAGAGTGAATAGGAGAGACGTAAAAGGAGAGTCCTTTCGTATTTTGCTTTGATTGGTTTCTTCGTTATCCCGTCTTCCTCGATTCCTTTCCCCTTCCCCTACCACGTTCTCACTGTTTCTCTTTTCCCAGATCTCTTCTGGGTTTCCTGCGATTCCTCGGCTGTTTTCAGTTTCTGAGCCCTAAACGTTGATTCTCCAATTATTTGTTATAATTCATTTCTTATTTTTTTTGTACGGACATATCAATTCAAATTCCAAATTCAAAACTAAACTGTTTCATTTTCTGCCCCTGTAAATTGTTGGATTGATTTTTTGTAATTAGTAGGAAGTCATTTATTAAAGTGGATTCAACCTGTAAATCGATTGTAGTTTGAATTTGGTCTTTCCGGTGTTAAAACAAGGAAACAAATTCAGATCATTTTCCTTCAATTTGTTTCCGCATAACCAGTTTTCAGCTTCGTCTTGGCTTCTTGTTTTTATCAAAAGAGCGAAAAATTGGAGCTGCAACACGGCGAGGATTTGAAACGAATTTGTTTTGCTTGGAGTTGTGAGCTTCGGCGGTTAATTGATATTTGTATGTTTTCGCCGAGGTGAAGGAGATGGAGACAGTTGTGACGTGAGAGATTGTGAATTGGTGCCGTTATTTTCTTCACGGTGGCTCAAAAGAGAAATAGCCTGGTTTATGATTGAAGGTGTATTTGCAGAATCGGTGATTATTCTGCTGTGCTTAGCTCCTATTTTTCATTTCGTTGGTTCTGGGAATGAAGAAGGATGACCAGAAACTACATCAGGGAGGTCCAATGCCTCGCCCAGGGCGAACTAATGGATTAATTCCGAGCTCATTCCGTGCTCTCTCAAGCTACCTGAGGGTTGTTTCCTCTGGTGCTTCCACCGTTGCACGGTCAGCAGCATCCGTTGCGTCCTCGATTCTCGACAGGGATAGTGACGCTGACCATGATCAGGTATGAGTTTTGCTTGGGTATCCAGGGTTACTCTTGAATTTAAACCACCCAAAAAAAAAAAAAACTTCGTTGATATTTATCATGAACTTGTTGAGTAAAAGCTGAAATTTGTAAGTGGTTGGTAATATAGATGCTGGTCGTCAATGATACGAGGCATTAACTACTGGTTGTGAGGAATGATATTTATTAATTGCATATCCCGTCAACATCTTGCGTCCCTGATTAAAACATGAGAGAGTATATACTCAAAATCTAGTTTGTTTGCTGATAGTTAAGTTGTACACGTAAAGTGATTTTCAATTCGTAAATTCTTTTGGTTTTTTTGTTGAATTGGTGTTGATTTCCTATCTTGATTATGATTTATGCAATAGAATGTAGTTTATCATGCTTAATTTCTTTTTATGGGTGAAGAAGATGAGTAGGTCATCATTTTACCCAAGTAGGCAAATGTGGACACTAGCTTAACAAAGTTGTAACTGCCAGTTTATGAAGCTCTGAACATTGTATATCACGTTCATTTTGCAATCCTTCATGGAACAGAACGTTTCTAAAAAGTTAATCTTGAGATGTGGGCTACAGTGTTGGATGTGGTCCCATTTAGTTTGCCGTCTTGAACTACCATGTCTATTGATGAATATACATAAAATAATTTGGTTGCTTTTTAAGGAATACTGAATTTTGTCGCCTACAAGGCAGGGGAATGCTGCATGGTCTGATATAATAGGTTAAATCTTGGTCAAGAAGTTTTGGTTGCCTTTTTGTCTGTTGGGCCGTTGACAGGGTTTACCTTTGCAGAATGGTCAGCTAACGAGTATGTCTGACATGGCTTTGTCCCTATTTATTTAAATTCACATTGTTTTTCTAAACTGACTTTATCTTTGTTCTTGGTCAGTCAGATATGTCTTACTGGCATATGCTTTATTTATCCCTTAGTGACAGAAATTTCACTGGTTGAGTGGCTGATTTAGTTTATGTAATATTTTATCTTTTCTATTCTTGATAACTATGGGGGATAAGGGTTTTTGTATAGGTGCTTTTGACACATCTGATATAGGAAATGTCAAAAAGTATTATTAAATTAACTGTCATGTTGTCATGCTAACTATGATAGTAGGCACTCGTATTTTGATGGTGAAGCTGTTTCTTGGAAATTCTAGTTCCTTTCCATTTTCAAGTCCATCTTCTCATTTCCACTCTTAGCTGCTATAGATTTTAGTTATAGAGCTATTTTTGGGTGTGATTTCCACCTGTCTTTTCAAGATTCCAATCTTTAAACTCAATTTTTTGTTGAGTTTCTGAGAACTCTTGCTGCAGCTCTTCATAATGAGTTATTGATATTTTATTTGGCATTTGCATATTCGAAGTTAGCCATAGGAATGAGATGACTCATATCAGTTATTTTTAAAATTGTGAAGGTTATCTGGGCTGGGTTTGACAAGTTAGAGGTGGAGGGAGATGTCATTCGGAAAGTTCTTCTTCTAGGCTATCGAACTGGGTTCCAGGTTTGGGACATTGAAGATTCCAAGAATGTGCAAGACCTAGTTTCCAGACATGATGGTCCTGTTTCTTTTATGCAAATGCTATCGAAACCAATTGCATCAAAGAGATCAGAAGATAAGTTTGCAGACAGATGGCCGCTGTTGGTTGTTTGTACTGATGGAATTTTTGCTGGAGGCAGTAACATTCAAGATGGTTTTGTCTCCTCTTGCAATGGAAGCACTTTAAACTGCCATGACCAAGTGAATGGCATTTATCTGCCAACTACTGTTCAGTTTTATTCTTTGAGATCCCAATCATATGTACATGTACTAAAGTTTAGGTCAGCTATTTATTCTGTTAGGTGTAGTTCTCGAGTTGTTGCTGTTGCTCAATCCACTCAGGTATAATTTTCAATATTCATCGCAAGCACCTTTAATATCTAATTGCAAGAACCTTTTTGGATTGTTTAGTGAAGTTTCTATCTTGCAGGTACATTGTTTCAATGCCACTACATTAGAAAGGGAATATACTCTACTTACAAATCCTATTGTCATGAGCTTTCCTGTTACTGGAGGTATAGGTTATGGACCACTGTCAGTGGGTCCAAGATGGCTGGCTTATAGTGGAAGCCCTGTTGTAGTCTCAAATTCTGGGCGTGTCAATCCCCAACATCTGACACCTTCTGCAAGTTTTCCTGGTTTTTCTTCGAATGGGAGCTTGGTTGCACACTATGCCAAAGAGTCAAGCAAGCAACTTGCTGCAGGCATAGTCACACTTGGAGATATAGGGTACAAGAAGCTTTCTAGATACTGCTCTGAGCTGCGACCTGATAGTAATGGTTCTTCACCATCTGCAAACTCTAGCTGGAAGGGCAATGGAACCAGTAATGGCCATTTGGGGGATTTGGATAATATTGGAATGGTTGGTTCTGTTTGTTCCTGATTTTAGTTTATTTATAACTGGATAGGCAACTGCCGTGCTTGATTCTCTTTCAGGCTCTGATATGTCAATGCTACCATATCTTAGGTTTTGGTTGGTGGTTTGATGTGAAAATTAGTTGTGACAAAATTTTTCTAGTACCAGCCCTCATCCTTGGTTCAAATCTAGACTCATCTTTACTGACACTCATCTTTCTGGATATGGGATGCTGTTGCAAATTTGAAATTTCTTGTGAGTTTATGTTGAATATCTTGAAAATTAAGTGGTGAAGAGGGGAAAAATAGAAGCATAGTTTGCAACTTAAAAGTTATGTGATTACCCTTATTCACCTTCTTGAATCATTGACTCACTGACTCACTGAACATAGGAATTGCATGAAACATCTATTGACACCTGATGAGAATTATAATAAAGGAGGATCCCCCCCTCGATGATTCTCATCCAGGAACTTTGTTACTCTATTTTGTATTGAAGCAGCTGGAATTTTTGCATTAAAGTCCATTTGGCACAAAACGAGAAGGAGAATGTGAATGAAAAATTTCTCTCATAGACATGAGATGTTCTCTTTCCGAATAATTTTCTTTGGCATCTACCAAATTCAACTAAAAATACTTTCCCTTGCACTTTTTTCTTTTCCTCAAAATATTTTTTCAAAATACTGAACACGGCCTAAATTCAAGGCTTTCTTCCTGAGATATCTTGTGTTTTCTGTCAGGTCATTGTCAGAGACATTGTCAGTAAAAGTGTTGTTGCTCAATTCCGAGCCCACAAAAGTCCTATTTCAGCCTTATGCTTTGATCCTAGCGGCACTATTTTAGTGACTGCTTCAGTTCAGGGGCATAATATTAATGTTTTTAAGATAATGCCTGGACACTCTGACAGTTTGGCATCTGATGTTGGCGGTCCTTCTTATGTTCATCTTTATAGGCTACAGCGTGGCTTTACAAATGCAGTGAGCGAACACTTTCCTGTTATCTCTTTTCCTTTTGTATGTGTGCCTGCGCGCACAAAAGCAACAGGGATATTTCTCATCTATACATGTTGAATTTTTCAGGTAATTCAAGATATCAGTTTCAGTGATGATAGTAACTGGATTATGATTAGTTCCTCAAGAGGCACTAGCCATTTGTTTGCCATAAATCCTCTAGGAGGATCTGTAAATATTCAGTCCTATGATGCAAGTTTTACATCAAAAAATGGTGGATTGGGCGTTATGACTGACCCAGCGGTTCAGTGGCCTCCTAATTTGAGTTCACAAATTCCTAAAGAACAGAGTATGTGCGCAACTGGGCCGCCAATCACACTTTCTGTTGTATGCAGGATTAGAAATGGAAATAATGGCTGGAGAAGCACTGTAAGTGGTGCAGCTGCTGCTGCAACAGGCAGAACAAGCTTGCAGTCTGGAGTTATTGCTTCGTCTTTTTGTAACTGCAAAGGGAGTGCCTTGTATGTTGGCGCGAACCGTTTTAAGACAAAATATCACCTGTTGGTTTTTTCATCAACTGGTTCTATGATACAATATGCTCTCGGGACATCAATGGGTCAAAATTCAGTAGTTTCTGGATTAACCCATGCATATGAATCTGCATTAGAGGTTGACACAAGATTGGTTGTTGAGGCTATTCAGAAGTGGAATATATGCCAGAGACACAATCGAAGAGAACGAGAGGATAATATGGACATATATGGTGAAAATGGAACTTCAGATAGCAACAAAATATATCCTGTAGAGATGAAGGATGAGAATACCAGTAGGTTAAAACTCGAGAATGTAATCATGAAAGTAAATTCCCAGCCTGACGAAGAGCATCATTTGTACTTTTCAGAAGCAGAACTTCAGACTCACCAAGCTCAAACTCCAGTGTGGGCAAAGCAAGAGGTTTTATTTATATTTACTATAAATAATATATGTAATGCTTATCATGCATTCTTTTTCTTGACGGTTAAATGAATAATTCTGTTGCCAACCAGATATATTTTCATCCAATGGTGAAAGAGGAGGGCATATTGAATGAGGAATCTACTTCAGAAGGGGAAATTGATGTTGAAAGAATTCCTACGCATGTAATTGAAGCTAGGGCCAAGGACTTAGTTCCAATTTTCGACTATCTTCAGCCACGAAGTTCCCAACAAACAAGGTTTGGTGATGCGATAGATAATTGGTTAATATCTTCAGATATTATTTTGTCATAGTACTTATGACTATGATTTCTTGTTTGATGTGCTTCTAAAACTCTGCAGAGTGGTAGCAGTAGCTTATTATGTATATTATTTTTTATAGGACTCCTTCTGTAAATGGTGAAGTAAATGAAGCACAGCTACATCAGACTTCTGTGATTCATGGTAAAGACACAATTTCAGAGGGAAGCAACAAAGACTCTACTGACTGGATGACAAATTATGGCGGCCTTGCACGCGAGATAGACAGCAACATTGTAGGGGATTGGAATGATCATCTGGGATCACTAGAAACTAACGGCTTTGTAAATAAGAATGACAGCGACACCCTTGAAGCCAATAATTGCGATGAGGTTGTAAATAATAGAGAGCACTTAAACATGGAGGCTCAACTCATGCTTGTAAATAATGACAAAGAAGGCTTCAAGAAAATGGAGAATCACTTTGAGGACAACTTGAAGTAAAGGGAATGCTTCCTGTTCTGATTTAGATGTTTCTTACATGGTAAGTTTCTTGAGATGATTGAACTGTTTTCTGGAGTCAATCAATCAAGTGGAAGTGCCGAGTTGATAGGATACTAAAAGAATGTTGGATTGGTTGTACTTCCTTCTTTGTACTGAACTATACATGTTTACTACGTTAATAATGAGCTCGTTCATTTCCTAAACTCTTTTCCATTCAGGCATGGGAATATTATTTGGACTTCAATCGGGAAGCTTAATTACAGTGTTATTATAGTTGTTGGAAGGGCGGAGAAACTTGAGGAGTGAAGGCCTGAGTATAAAGCCAAGTTATGGATGCTATATGTTAGATTTCTTCTGTCAAACTTGTACACAACACAGATTGTATAATAGGAAAACCAGTTGTGATGTGTACATAATAGAATTACTTTTAATGTGTTCTGGCCTCTCTCTCTCTCATTTTTTATTAGTGCTTCTATGCGTTTGATTTTAGATTTATGGCAGTCAGTCTTCAGAATTTGGCCTCTTTTAATGTTAGATTTGGTATTTTTGGCACGATTCTTAAATAAATAGGATGGAAATAAATATGGGAAAGTAAATGTTTGTTGAGAAATTTTTCGGTAAATCAGGTCCATCATGTTATTTTTGATCTGGCCAATCAAAATATAATAATTCACCTTATTTTAATCCTAGCTAACAATTTATGGACCTATTTTATTTTAATCCTTGTCACTTCCTTTTCATCCATAGCCATTTTCCTTTTTCTAGCACAAAATATTCCTTTTTCTCCTGAAACCCAGTAGCTGCCGATTAAGAAGAAAGCCCAGTCACTGGGTCTGGACTCCCGGATGGAAAAGAGGTATGAGGAGCTAAAATGTCAAAAAAAGTTGAAGTGCAAAGATTTAGAATACTTAAAAAAAATATAGAGACTTATAGCAAAATTTAAACAAAGTATAAGATTTTAAAGTTATATTTTTTTAAAAATAAATTATGAAACTGCCAACAAGTATTAAAGTAAGGTAAATTGTTATATTCTGATTGGTTAGGTTGTAAATGAAGTGTAGACTAGGCTTATCTAAGAATTTCTTATTATATGTTTGAAAGAAATGCATATTGATATGATAAGAAAAATATTTATAAATACAATTGAAATGGCTGAAAATTATCATTTAAAATGAATATGCTTTATTCTTTGGGATGTATTTTGAGAACCCCCCCCCCCAAAAAAAATTCATGATTTGTTAGAATATAATGTGTAATGGCGATAATATTTTCGCTGATGCTGTTATATATTTATATTATTATCATTATACCCAAGGTCAAAAAAGATATGTTATTATACCAAGTTATACTCACTCTTGACGTTAAAAATTTAAAATTATATGACTTTTAGGTTATTCTAAAAATGTACACTTTTTTCACCCATAAAACTTACAAATGTTTTCAGAAACAAAATATTTTAGAAATGCTTGTATGATTAGAATAAATTTATGGTTGACCATAGTGCCAAGTGTTCTAATTTTTTTTTTTTTTGATGTTGTTCATACTGAAAAATTATGAATTTGACAGATTCTATGAATTCTATATAGTGAGTGCAAGACTTTTTGAAATGGTCTTACAGTTAGACCTGATGATATAGTTTGTACGGACAGAATAATTTTATGTGGACCCCCCCCGGGAGTTTTAAAAGAAACAACACAGGAAAAAATGGGCGAAGAAAACAATATCATACAGAAATAGAGCCACTGTTCTGTTCAGTTGCCACAAGCTCTTGATTTGAAATTACTAAATAATTGTCCTTTTGTTTAACTCTATTTTTGAGAAAAAAGAAAATAAATATTACACATGGTTTAAGTAATTGACTCGTTCAGAAAAGTGCTACAACTAAGGTTGTTGAGGAACAAGAAAATGTATAGTACACTTGCAAATAAAGCATTTGAAATCATTTTCCTCTTTTTTTTTTAAAAAAAAACTAATTCTCATCTCTTTATCCATTCCTATTAGACCAAGTATGAATTCATGGCTTGTTACTTTAAAAATAATTTAATTACAAATGTGAAGGCTTGTTAAAAATTTTATATTATTGATTGGAAAAACACACTACAACTTTAATTTGTAAACTAAATATTCTCAATATTATATCACTGTTCACATAAATATTCGCTGGCAGATCAACATTGAAGTTGAGATGATGGTCAAGAAAACATTTAACATCGTATATCCAACAAGAAACTCACGTCATAATGTCATAATAAATCAACATTGAAAACCATTTTTCAATTACTTTAATTTATGGATCATCTAACTCTAATACATGTGTTATATCAATAATAGCTTAGTATTATCTTTGTTTGATCCCAAAAATAAATATCTCATCTTTGATTATGAAATAAAATATTACTACCTATTACCAAGCACTGATAATTCATGGTTTTCTCACTTTATCAACATCTTTTCTTCCAAATTAAAGAAGCAATTTCACTTTCACTCATTGCATAATATTCAATCATATTCACACATATATTGCGGACAATTAAATGGTAGAACGAAATATAGTTTAGTAATTATGAAATACTTGATGTATATAACTCTTATAATATTATAAATTGCAAATTATAATAACTAAATGAGTTGTTAAGTTCTAAAATTGATCACTAATTTGGCTAATGTCTTATCATCAATCCTCAAGAACTATTTTTGTCAATCAAACTTATTTTGGGTTGTGTTTTATTGAATTGTTTATAGCTTCACGAAATTAAAAAAATAAACAGATAAATATATTCTGCTCAAGGCATATTCATTAATTTTGTCTTTATAGAGAAAGCTTGTCACATCATGTCCTCAATCTTGTTTGTTTCTAATTTCTGTAAAATTGTCCTCTCTTTAATTAATTCAATTTTTCATTCAAAAGATATGTAATTTTTCATATAAAAATAAAAGACAAGTCAAATGATGATAAAGATATACAGACGGTGGAAACTTCATTATTGTTGAAACTAAGGAATTTTATTATTATTATGAAGAGCACAAGATAAGAATATTCCAGATTTGTAAGCTAGCTGCATCACAAGTTATTAAGAGATTTGATCATTGAACTTTGTTTTTGAGCCGATCACAATTTCATCCAAGGCTTCACCATCGTCATCTTGGAGCCCAGAAAATACATGAACAAGCCAATAAGTTCTGGAATTTTCAGAGATTCAGAGAAGCCATCGAGTAATAGTTCAACCTGTAAGGTAAGTGGAATTCCAAAGTTTAATTTCTCTTCTTTTATCTTTAGGTTTTATGTTAATTAGTAATTAGACATACATTAATGCACAGTGTGAAATATAAGATGCATTATGAACAACATAATTATGGATTTTATCGATACATCCTTTAATTTTAATTTATTCATTATTTTTATTTGGGTCCTCAAGTTCATAATTCTTTATTATTAGATTAAGTTTAACAAGTTGGCTTTAGAACACAGTAAGGTAGCTAATGAACGAGTCAAAAATGGACGGTTCTCTTTGGTGAAAGAAATTATAAAATCTCATGACAAACAAGAAGAAGCATGTGGTCTTTCCATTTATGAGTTTGTAGTACATTCACAATCACATGACAATAAAAGAATTGATAAGATGAAGGAAAAATTACATACAGGTCTCACATAAAAAAATTAATTACTGTAAGGTCTATTAACAATTGATATGTTGATTAAATCATCTTATGTTAGTTGTTAACAGATCTCATAATAATTAATTTTTTTATGTAGTATTTTAACATAATTTTTTTTAAGGTAAGATGAAAGTACTTGAACCTAAGGTAATGAAAATATAATAAGATATTGAATAAGTCAAAACATCATCATGATCCGACCTATTATTAATAAATTAATATATTTTGAATAATATATTCTTAAAATAATGAAGAACCAATTATCCATAATCATTAAAACAATGACTAAATTCAAATAAAAGCAATATATAGTAAAAAAAAAAAGGAAGATCCATATTTTATAATTTTAGAATATATCACATATCTTTCCCTATATGTTTATCATTCTTTATTTCCTACGCTTATTAAGTACAAACATACATGAAGTATAGCTTAAACATATTAATTATATTTTTTAAAAATAAAAAATTTTGACCAGTTCACCACTAGTTCTCTTCTTCCTTGATTTTCTCATTATGCCAAAACTAGTCATGTGACCAATTCTTGATTCAATTAATCGAGCCGGCCAGCCTCATACGGTTCTCATGACAATGCTAAAATCTAAATGAAAAATTATGAATACTTCAAAGGGCGCATTTGTTATTGACAAGATATATCCCAACATAATATCGATATGGTCAAAAGCCACTTTTTCTCATGTCCCAAAAAAAATGCCACTTTTTACTAAAAAAAAAAAAGCCACTTGTACTAATTTCTAGTTAATTGATTAATTAAACATAAGACCTTATGATTTCATATCGCCACAAACCCACCATTCACAGTTTAGGATGGTGTGAGGATAAATCTTCTGTTGCCGAGATAAGATTCTACTAAAGAGGGGAAAAAGACAACGGAAAAGGTAAAATGAGAGTGAGACTAAGATGACAAATTTTATCATGTTGATTTATTCAAAATATATACCAACACTAAATCAAGTCATGAATGATATAGTTTATTTTTCAGACTAACAAAATTAAACCCCCAAGATCTTTGTCATGTTGATAACAAATTTACAATTGATAATAACGTTATACTGTAATACGTAAGGCTATCAGAAAAGAAAGTGTATAATACGTAAGTGACTTCTCATCTGGTTGATTTTTAACTGTTCAATTTACTGATAATTACACAAGATATTTATTGTTATCCTGACATTCCAAGAGTCACCACTAGCACCATATTAAAAAACGGAGTAAAAAAATCTTAGTTTCAAATCCATATTTTTACTCTGGCAAAAATAAAAACCTACATATTTTCAAAGGAAAAAAAGTAGTAAATTAATGTACAATACTACACACCAACTAAAAATTCTAGCTATTATTACAGACAAAATTCTTAAGCTCGCGGAAGTGTTTGTTCTTTGATTTTCTATATTCTTAAAAGAACAGACATAGATGTTAAAGTATTGTAATTGTTTCCTGAGTTTTCACTCCATCGACTACAACCTCGACCCCACCAAATATATATATACATACATATACATACATATACATATATATATATATATATAGAGAGAGAGAGAGAGAGAGCTAGTCATTTTCCATGTAGAAGTCCTGCTTCTGTCATAGTCCAAACTTAACATATCCTAGCAAAAACTAAACTTGATTTGCAGGCAAAGGCAACAAGCATTCACCAAACCAAAAAAAAAAAAAAAAAGTCCAACAGAAGGGGGGAAAAACATGCTTAATTTTTAATTACAATGTTGTTCTTATTATCATCCTTCTTCTTCTTTTTTTTTCCTTTCTTC